TAGGCAAAGCCTGGGAAACTGACACAGCATCTAGCCATGAACTCCAGTGGCTCCCTGTAGTCTAACCTCAGCTTCTCCCCATCAGCCATGTTCTTCTCAAGGGATAGTTGAGGCTTTTTTCCTGGTAAGTGATAAGTTCTTCCTTCACCAGTCTATTCCATTGTCCACAATACTCTGTTGCCTGCTGCAGTGACACCACTAAGCTCTTCAAGATTCAGATCTTAAAGCAAGAACACAGCAAAGAATCTCAGTATTTACCTCTGGTGTCTCTCCTGCCTCCAAGTATGCAGCAGTGATGTAGGCAGCCAATGTGACCTCCCCATCCACACCTCCCTACAAAAAAATATAAGCATCCAAAAAGCTGGGGAAGTTAATACACAAAGACCTGAAGCTTTTCAGTAAAGGTCCCATCTATCCCTGACTTGCTCCCACACAAGAAAGCAGAACAATAGAGATTAAACCATTACCAATACACTTGGCAAGAGCTGCTTTGAGTTATCTTTCAAGGTGCCCTGGCTCCTACCTTCATTGCTGTATGGAAAAGTTGGCCCACATTTTTGAAACAACCGTTGGGAAGCCTGTGGAACTCCAGCCAGGTAAGAGCAGCCTGAATGGTCCTGTTGTCTATGAAAATGTATGGCTTGGCTTGGACAAAGCATTTAACCACAAATGCAGTCAGCCTGGTTGGGGATAGAACAGAAAAAAAAAGGCATGAGAGAAGCAGAAAGAGATGGATGGAGTGAATGAGAGAGAGGGAAGAATTAATTGAAAGAAAGCATCTAAGCAGGAGTTGAGGAAAAAGAAAAGGAGTGGGAGTTTGACACTGGTGGGTCACTCCTCACCTTCTGTTGTGCTATTCCTTATTTGCTGATCCAAGGACAGTTCACCCCAATGACAGTTGCACACCCCTGGGATGCCCTAGCCAACAAAGCATCTCGAACACTTTGAGTCCAATAGAAGAGAAAGGATTCAATGTTGGAAGCAGAAAGCTGCCCACCTCCAGGTTGTCAGACAGCAGGTAGACAGCAAGGGAGAGAGCCCAGGACTTACCAAGTATTACCATACTCATCCTTGGTGCCAAATTCACTGTAGGAACCATCAAGGTGTTGATACTGAAGTTGTATCTGGTACCCTGGGGTGCAGTATAGGACATTAGTGCCCAGAATAGTAATTTGCACTGGGCAGGGAATAGGGTGCTAATGGACTGGGGGGGGAAAGGAGTAGTCAACTCTTGGTAGGTTGGACACAGGAGAAGGCAGAAGAGCAAGGTGCGTCTGCTGTACTTGCCATTGCGCAGGAATCCTGTTGCCCGCTCCTTGATCTCAGGGGTCAGCTGCCTTGTCTTCTCCAGGTACTGCAGCACATAGACAATGGGGGCAAACAGCACCATGTTCTGCTCCCCACAGCTGTGGGGCATCTGCACTAGGTGGTCTAGGTTCTGCAGTGCCTGGCCCAGGAGGTCACCTGGAACAGAGCACAGGCACCCTTTGGCATCCTGGGCTTGTGGATTCACCTCTTACCTGTTACCCATTCCCAGCAGTGCAACAGTGGGAGGGCACCTCTGTCCAGATGGCTTTACAGTTCCACTGTGCCCTCCATATATGCACATGCCCATCCTGGCAGGGGAAGCACATCAACAGAACATGCTCTCCCCTGCTGATTGTGTTACCTGCAACCAGGAAACACTGCCTCAAACATGGAAAGAACAAGGCAGTGGAGTCTTGGAAGTTTCAGAAAGGGAGGTGGTTCTGAATTTGGGCTTTCCTAGGGCTAAACTCGGAGAAATGGGATTTAGAAAGGCATCATCACAGCAGAATTCCTTACCAGTAACCGAGACGGTGGCTCTGACTGAACCTTCAACCACATTTAGAGGCAACATCAGGGACACAGATTCCTGTGCTGGATTCCCTGACACCAACAAAGTAAGGAGTGTGGAGAGGGAAAAAAATGAAGAGATTCTGATTAAAATAGCATTCAAACTCCCCAGAGACTGTTTGAGACAGTTCTGTGCTAACATCCCATTTTCCTGTCATAGAAGTTGCAAAAACCCTGTCCCATTCCACCCTCAAGTTCCACCCCATCAGCCTCGCTGTAACTGTGCTATCCTAACAACTTTCATTCTATAGAGGTTGAGAGGATCTTCTCCTGGAAACCATCTGTGGTCAAAGCCACGTTCCTGCTTTTCTTTACACAGGTTAATCAATCTTATTTCAGATTTCAGTAGCAGATATGTCTTCTCAATGCACCTTGGGCTCTGAAAATCTGTGAATGGCTCCATCATTCACCATAAAACTCAAGACAGGAGCAGCAATCCTAAGTCATATCCTCCAGCCTCACCATGTTCAGTATAAAACCAGAGTTTTATTACTACAAGTGAAAAAGGCCTCAAGCTATCACATCAGTATAATGGATGTTGATGCTAAAATATTGGAGTTCCTCACATCCTCACCCAGGGGAAGCTCTAGCTTGCACCACAATTAAAATAAGCTTGGTCATGTTGACATAGAAAATACTTCAACAAGTGGAACAACCCAGAAGGTTGGTGGGCAGGAAGGAGGGGATGAGTAGGATAAAATAAATCGATCTCTACCTTTTTTGGGACATAGGATGGAGCTGTGAGCCTTTTCTACCAACAGTCCCTCTGGCTGTAGGAGCATGTAAGAGTAATAATGACCACACAGGAGAGAAATAGGATTACAAGTGGATTAGCAATAGATATGGACAACGTCCTGGTTCAGGCTGGGGACACAGCGGGAGTAACATCATTGCCACATAAAAATGTTTGTTATTGTCAACAATTTTCATTTCAGATAAGAAAACAGCACACATTTTCATAATATCTCAACTTCCTAATGTCTGTGAAACTGATGTTATAAGTTCAGTAGAGAGCTCAGTTTCCCACAGCATCAAGTGGAGGATACCTCTCTACATCCCACGTCCATCAGCCCTCATGGTTAAGCCCAGCTCAGGTCCCAAGATTCTAATTACACACCTTTAATAGCAAGTGGTAACTCCCTAAATTAACCTGCACAAAATCGGGGAATTGCACAAAATCCACTTTTAGGTCTAGGTAATATAAGACTTTGCCTGACCCGGACTAGGAGGAGTTTGTTGATCCTATCTTTCTGTCCTTGGTTGGGAACAAATGGTATCTCTTCACCACAGAGCTCTTTGGTGACCACGGCCTCTGTATTGAGGGTGATGTTCATGAGCCCTAAAAATAACACATATTTAAGTGCATAAAACATCTTCTGAGGAAGCACTTCCCATTAATAGAAGTAAACTATTGACAACAAAAAAATTGAATCAGAACCCTATATGATTCTGTACCTTCTAGCACAGACTTGCAAGTAATCCTGACTTTAGGATCAATACAAACAAGTACTCTCTGATTAACAAGGCAAACAACTCCTCACTCCATGTCAGCTCTTACAAAACATCCCCTCACCTTGGTCCCATCCCTTCCCAATTTCACCACTCTCTGTCTTTCTCACCCAGCTGTTCAGCTGTGACACTCCACTGAAAGGTCTTCACTTCATCGGCACATAAGCAGCTGCTGTAGACACAACTTTTGCATTGCTTGAGCTGGAATTGTGGAAATGTCTCCAGGGTCACCTGGATCTGAAGAGGTAGCAGGTAACAAGACAAACATCACAGGCAACAGCTGTCAGCCATCTCCTCCCAACTCATACCCTGCTTTTCTCACAGAGCCTGCCAGGGCTCTCCTACCTTCATGCATCGTTGCAGATAGTTGACAATTGTGGCCTTCAGGGTGAAGGTCTCACCCTGGATCACAGAAAATGGTAGTGTGAGCTCCACAAGAAATGGCTTGAAAACAAGCAGACTGGAACATTCCTGCTTTCCATTTTGTGATGGTGTTAGGCACAGTGACAGTGACATTCTTGTTCCCACTGGGACTGAGAAGAAGTAGACAGCAACAGAAGCATTTAACTGAATCTTGCTGTATACAGGTGACCTGGAGTGCACCATTCTCTCCAGAGCACCCCATCCCCTAACCTTGGTCTAACACCTAACCTCAGTCTAACACCTAACCTCTGCTGAACTTGTAGCCCTTGCAGGGTTACAAGTAGGTCCTTGCAGAAGTAGGGACCCTGGCTTCAGGCACTTATATCATCAGAACATTCTTTACAGCAGCTGACATGGCTGCAAGATGCCATCAATCACTTCCAGGGTTTTTCTCAGACAACGCTTGCTCTTTGCACATCTAGAAATGCTTTACAGATGTCAGCAATTTTATTCTTCTTGGTCTAGGGATGGAAAATCAGACACCAGGAGAGCAACAAGACTAACTTAACATCAGTAGAACTTAGTAGAAAAGACAGATCCAGACATTCATCTGCCTGTGGGACACTGCGAGTTTGAAGTCCAACAGGGCAAAGACCTGGCATCACAGCTTCTGAGAGCAGCAGACTGTTCTGCTGCTATTACCACAGCAAACACAAAACCAGCCCTAGCTAAAGCTAATGATATTATTTGACTCACATAGCTGCAGACATGCACTTTTGCCAAGCAGGTGCAGGAAGACAACATACACAACACGGTTTAGTTGCTCAGATCAGGCTGGTGGATAAATCACATAGGGGATATCTGCTGCTGGGGAGTGAAGAGATTATAGAGGTGGCAGGACAGTGGAGGTGGGAAATGGTAGATATGGTGGCATCTGTCAGACTCCAGTCTTCACACAAGAAATTCTTAAAGTCAGAGATGAAACATCTCCAAAAGTTCCCTCAGGCTCGGTGAGTACACAGGGTCTGTTTTCTCACAAGACACAATTCCCAGTCCTGTGAAGGACTTCTGTAGAGATCAGCTTTCCCTGCATTGCAGGATACATCCTGTGGGCACAGTTTGGGAAATGCCAGCCCACAGGCAGTAAACCAATATGTTTTGCTGCACTGCACCTGCTTTACTAAATTCCCATGCCAGCCACCTCCCATGGATGAAAAATGCTGCTGTATGATCATCTAGTATGGGAAAATGCATTTGATGCTGACAAAAGTGCTGGGGAGAAACAGCCTGACAGGTGTGAGCTCCATGATATATGTCCTTAGACAACTTCTTCAGCAACTCGTGATCTAAACCTAAGTGTATCTCCTGGCATTCTAAGTCACTCTAAGACACTCAGACTAGACCACCCACTCTCCACTTTACTCACCCCACAGAATATAAATTCCATATCCAGGCTTCAGGGAAATGCTTATGTACTTTTTCTTCAGGTGCAGAAGCAAGGGAAAACATAGTAGGCTCATAGGTAGATGTTGTCAGATGGTCTGTTGGAAATTACAAAGACCCAGTCACCGCAGTCCTCAGTCCCTGGTTTAGAGCAGAGGACCTCCAGCCCATCTCAGGCTGCAGGTCATCCAGTCAGCTCTTGGGAAGCTGGCAGACCCTCCTTCTTGCCAGCTATTCCAGCTGGCACTGGGACAGTGCTATCCCAAATTTTAATGTCTTGCCTCATTTCAAGCAACAGAGGTGCTGTGGGCCTTACTTGCATTTCTAGTCTCCAAGGGAAGGGAAACCATTCCATCACTTCAGAGATAAGACTTAGAATCCAGACAGCTCACTAACATTTCAAAGCCAGAAGTGCCAAGACCCTCGCATCCTCACACTGGATGTGAGGCTCTAAACCTGTTGTTTAGAGCCACGAATCACTCTCACTCATCCATTTGCTTTCACCTGAAAGACTGAGCATCTGATGTAAGACGGAACAGTTGGCAAATCATTACCATTATATGCTTCGTGGGGCTGAGCAAACATCAACATGGGCCTGGAAGTCAACGTTGTTGTTTCCCGCAACACAGTTGTTGATGGTGTTGTTGGGCACACTCTGGGTTTCCTGATATTGGTGTTGGACATAATTTGCAACCTCATTTCCTGCAGGAAAAAACAAAACAAACAATAAAAAAAAAAACCCACAACCAAAACAAACAAAAAAAACCCAACCAAAAAACCAACAAATAAACAGAAAAAACCACTAATGCACCAGAAGCATTTCCTCTCCTCTCTACCCTGTGCCTTCTTGTCACCTCACACAGTGGGAACTTAGCTGTCCTGTGAACTGGCAAAGTATTCTCTTGCTCTGGTTTCAGAGGGGATTATTCAGATACTCAGCAATGAGCAAACAAGGTCTTCTGAGCTAATTTATCTGGCCTGAGTCAAACAGGCCATGTCAAACATTCCATCTCAAACACAGGGTCATTTAGGTACTATGCCTCCTCAGCCTGCAGAGTAATTGCTCATACTATGGAGATTAAACCTACTATGTGGAACCCAGTTAAAGTAACAAATCAGCCTTGGCATCCTGAATCACACAACCAAAGTTCAGTAACCACATAACAATTCCTTCTTGGCCAATAATTTCAAGTCACTTATGCAAATAACAGGTGAGTTACAACGGCTTAAACTGGTCTTGTTCCCTGTACTGTCAGTAATGGCATTCCTAGGATGTTGGTAAAGTCAGGAGGCCACAATTCCCTCCAGTCATTAATTACCCCAACCCATCAAATCAACCATTTTTACCCTGAATGCTGTAAACACATCAGGCTCATCAGAGTTTGGGAACTCGCATGAATTATCATCTTCTGACACTTGAGGAGGATGTCTGGAGTTATAAGCAGATAAGAACAGCTCATCCATCTGGGAAAGAAAAAGAAATAAAAAATCAGCACAAATAAAACCTGGCATTCCCTTCTTGTCACACATCCAAGGGCTGTTTGAATTGCTCCTGGCTACTGTGCACAAATGCATGCCAGAAAGCCCAGGCTCACTGCCATTCTGTCCTGGCTCTCCTCTGATAGAGCCAATGCAACTGAACATGAGGAAGAACAACAGAAGCTCATTCACCACCAGTGATGTTCAACCTCTTTCTTAACACATGCCCCTAATCCTTACCTGTGTCACTGCTGATCCTTAAGAGCAATGCTTTGCATCCCTTGGGAGGTATGCTCTGCACAGATGGTAGAATCATAGAATCACAGAATGCCAGATTGGAAGGGACTTTAACGATCATCTCCCACCTTCCTAGGTAATGCTATAGTTTATATGAAATGTCTCAGCACCCTGTCAAACTGAGACTTAAAACTGTCCAGTGGGAGGGAATCTACCACTTCCCTTGGGAGACTATTCCAATGGTTGACTGTCCTCATGGTGAAAAATTTACCTCTTGTGTTCAATCAGAATCTCCCCAGGAGCAACTTGTACTCATTACCCCTTGTTTTTTCCATGTGACTCCTTGTAAATAAGGAGTCTCCACCTTCTTGGTAGCCACCCTTTAAATACTGGAACATTGTAATAAGGCCTCCCCTAAGCCTTCTTTTCTCAAAGCTGAACAAACCCAGTTTTCTCAGCCTGTCCCCATATGGAAGGTCCTCCAGTCCTCTGATCATCCTTGTGGCCTTTCTTTGGACCCTGTCCTCCTCATCATCCCTTTTGTAGAGTGGGGACCAGAACTGAACACAGTGTTCCGGGTGTGGTCTGACAAGTGCTGAGTAGAGTGTGATGATAACTTTTTTGTCTCTGCTGGTGATGCCCTTGTTGATGCAGCCCAGCATCCTGGTGGCCTTGCCCCTGCAGCACCCTGCTCACTCATGTTGACCCTGTTAGCCACCAAGACCCCCAGGTCCCTTTCCACAGGCCTGCTCTCCAGTCAGGTGGATCCCAGTCTGAACTGCACTTCTGGGCCAAGTGATCCCACGTGCAAGAACTTACACTTCTCCCCCTTCATAATGTTCCTGCTGTCACACTCCTCCAGCCTTTCTAGGTGATCTTGGAGGGTGGCTCTCCCTTCTGCCACTTCCTATTTGTGTCAGTACAAGGGAAGGGAAGGAGTTGTAGGAGGTTCACTCACCAAGGAGCTGCTGAGCTCTTCTCCTGGCTTCAGTGTAGTGACAGCCTGATCCACAGCCCAAACAGCACAGGTGGACCCAGGAGCTGCCAGCAGGTGGAGACCAACATTTGCATCAGGAAGGGTCTGGGGCACTGAGAAGCCCAGCTCCACCTGGATGGGAAGAATGCAGACAAGGATTAGAAGGTGGCATTTCTGCTGCTGGCCACCCTACTACTTCCTGAGCAATGAACAGACCTACATGAAGAGAGTGTCCAAGGACTTGCCTTGGGTGGAAATCCGAGAAATCTCCCAAGGACTCCCAGAATGTATTCTAAAAAACATCATGTTGAAGTTCTAACAGGAAAGATGGCAGAAGGGGAGGCATCAGTGCACACAGCATGCAGTACTGGAGACATTCTTATGTCAGAACACAACCAGCCAACCACAGCCACACCAGCCAACCAGCCAGCCACATTTACACACCTCACACAGCTGTCTTTCTGCTCCTTTGGAAGCCCCAGATAATAATTAAGCATAGTCCTTATATCCACACTCCTCTTGGAGTTGGTCTCAGTTTCCTGAAGCTCTTCCTGTTTGAATCTGGCTGTCCATGGCAAATAAATAGTTATGGAGCAGGGGTAATGCCAGTTCTCAGAAGTTCATATTTGGAGTGCAAGACACAGCCAAGACAGAAGACTCCCACAGCTGTCACAGTGACCACTGGTCCTTTCTGGATGGCCAGTAAAATCCACTTCTTCCATCAGCTGCTTTCAGCTGTCTTCACAAGACTACATACTAAGAAGTCTTAAGTGAAAAACCTTGATGTCTCTTGGGAATCACTGTAATAACCTATGCTAGGCTGTGGTCCTACTGGATTGCAGCTGCTGTACAAGCCTATGAAGACAGACACATGGTTCTCTGCCTTTCCCAAACACTGAAGCAATGCTCAGCATATACTCGCTCCATACATCATAGCACAGGTCACTGCTCACATGCTGCAGTTCACATGACAAGTATCCCACTGCATCAAGCCACACACAGCTGCACAAACAATGTGCTCCTCAGTCTCTTCTTTCATGGCAACACACACATACACTCACATATTTAGGTATGATCCCAGACACAAATCCTACCTTATTTCTGAAACACATGGAGACCCTGAAGATGGCAGAATCCGCGATGATTTTTCCATTAGGGAAGATAACATAAACAACAAGTCTTGGAGCTGGGGCATAGATCAAGCTGAAGGTAAGAGGGATGGAGAAGAAGCCTTTCAGCACTAGATGTAGGAGAGAGGGAAGAAGAGAAAGTAATGAAAATGGACTCTGATCAGATATCAAAATAATAACCTGTGTCATCCAAAATACTAAAAGATTCTTTTTAGACATAATGGCAAATTAAAGCAGGAGAGTTTTGACAGAGATCAAGGCTATAAATTCATGCTACTTGGAGAGGCAGCAAAAGGAGACTTCTTTGAAAACAAAGAAAACAGAGGACAAGCCTATAGGCTGGGAAGGGGTGAGGA